TAAACCCAGACTCACTGAAATAAAATAAAGGAACAATTAAAATCTGTTCTTTCAAACAAGCTACTAGGGTAAATACATGTAACATTTCAAGGGTTACACACTGAAAATATCCTTTGGGAGACTGTTTTTCCCCAGAAAGAATTTTTTCCCTTCAAATTGCTTCATTTCTTTTTCACCACCTTCTGACACATTTGATGACAAAAGCAGGTTTTAGTTGCTTTTCCAAAGAAGCTGGGTGTTGTCAAACCACATGATGGTAGATACGGCCAAAGCAAGCCAACTGCTCCCAGAAGTATGAAAACATCATGTGCTTGAGGGAGAAAGGGGCACTGAAGGTGATTGGGAGATCAAATCCAGCAGAAACATGTATGTGTCTAGCTGTGATGAAAAGCATTCTCTTCAGAGCAAATAGATTTACTGATCTTGCTAGGTCTGATCACAGCTTCAGTGTGAATGTGTGTGGGTATATACAATTTCTTTTTTATGGACACAGGACAGAAGAGAACATACTGCGGTATAAAAGCCTGTAACATTAACTGTTTACATATAAACTCTTCTCACTTCACCTCTTTTCTGGACAGTTGTAGAAGTTCACTGATGTTACATTGCTAGTAGCTTTCTAAATGCATTTTTCCAGGTTTTCTGCAACAAGAGCCAGTCTTATTTCTGAAGGCTGAAGAAAAAATGAAGCTGTCCCAAATTACACGTTGTGTCTCTCCAAATAACTGTGGTTGCAGAAGTTGAACAATAATCCTCTGATTATGCTTCTGAACTCTTGCTTATTTACTGGGGATTTTCTGCCAGCTACCCATCCACTTTCAGTCCTTAGGCACAATCAAAACATGTTTGCTCTAGGGAAAAAGAAACATTTCAGTGCAATCAAGCGCATCTGGTGTAACTAATCTGGGTTAATCACAGCAATGTGAGGGACACAGAATATGCATTATAAACATGAAAAAGGAGCAATTTTCAACATGCTTTTCAAACTGCACAATAATTTCTCTTAATTATTAATTTTAACATAAAATGATTAAGTGTATTTGTTTTCGCAAGTCTTAGCATTTCTGTCACCTTTATATTTAGAAAACTGACTCAGGAATGTGAAAGAAAGCTAAATTTATAGAGCTCTCACATAGATCAATCAGCTGCTTAACAGAAAAACAAGCCCATCATCCACATTCCTACTGAGACTTGCGGGCAGTAAATACATTTTCCTGACTATTTTGGTGTCCAGCCTGGGAAGACATTCCATTCTTCTGTCCCAACAGATCCTGAAAGCATCTCCTTTTCATGTGACTGTCCCGGTTTCATTTAAAATAATGCTTAATTTAAAACTAGTCAGAACATGATCACTGTGATTTCAATAATTCAATGTGAATGAGTTAAGAAATACCAGCAATCTTCTGACGTTCAGTCCAGTAGCATGAAACATATTTGTCGCTGCAGAGACTTGGGTGGGTTTTTTTTCTTTTTACCTGTTTCTTTTTAAAATTTTATTTATTTTTTTAATTTTTTGTTTTTAAGACCTCGCCTGAAAACTAGACTAATAAAAACAGAATAGTAAAATACTCTGGAACAGTAAAATTTTGCTGTTCTTGACATCCATGAGCAAAACAGTAATATCCTGTGAAAATAACATAGTGCTTTAAAAAGGTGCAATATACCTGTATAGCTAAACTGGTTTGCCTAGTATAAAACTAACTATATACAAGCTTGAAAGCCTGGGAGTTCAAGATTTTAAAACTTTAAAATCCCATCAAAGAGATTGAAAAGACAGATTTATGGCAATCACTACAGCATAAGGAAGGTGCACCAGGAATCCTTCAAAATTCCAAAGGTTAAAGAAGTTAAGTGCTGGGTTCAGATCAGAAGGGTTCATTAGAGTAACCACAATGGAGCACATGCAAGGGCAGGGAGGAAGGAAAACTTCACAAGAATTTCCTTTATGGCAATAAAGGGACAGGGGATGGGGGGAGTCTTCAGTGAGTGAAGTTTTCCTTTTGTCATTGTGAATTTTAACTCTGCATAATAGTTTGTATTTTTGGTTCTTCTCATGGTTGTGAACTTCATATTGCTGGAGTCTTCTGGCTTTTAGTCCGTTTCTTTCTGAGTGCAGTCTGTTAGCCCTCTCAGTACCTGTGAGACTGATGAGATTGGTGATACTGGGAGCTCTGCTGAGACGATGTGGAATAACCCATTGTACTCTGGGACTGAGAAGATCCCTGAATGTTGCTTTGGTAACTCAGGCGTGAGCTGGAGTGCTGCAGGAAAAGAGAGTGGGATCAGGGGAATGAAAATCAGCCTGTTAGGACTACGCAGCTCAGGAAACTTTTAACCTCTCTGAAGCTCATTAAAATGTTACTGTCAGAGAAGCTGACTAAACAGCGTTACTGTTTAAGGTCTCATAAAACAAGCAATCAATCTGATCTGCAATCAGCCTTAACACAGCACACAAAATACACAAGGTCACTGGCAGACACCTAGAAGTACAGCATGTACACACCCATTTTTTGAAGGAAAAATATACAAGACAGAAGAGAGAGAAGACTCCATTTCAAAATTCAGCCATTTCTTAAACTTATATCTATCATTACTCTAAGTGCTATTAATGTAAAACCAAACTGCCAAGTCCACAAACTTCCTTTTCAAGCTAGGCAATGCTAAATGTTACAGCGAAACAATTTATTCTGTTCCTGAGAAAAAGACAATCGTGACCTAAGAGTTACTCAATTTATCTAAATTAAAAAAATATCCAGTAGGATAAAATAATAATATTTTAGGTGAGTCTTTCAACCTGCTGCTTCATCTGCTGGAAGCAAGGACAACTGCTTAAAGATGGGCATGTGTATGTGCAATAACCTCATATTCACCTTCCTTCATATGTTTTGTTTTTTTTTTCCTCCACTCTATGGGATGTTAGCTCAGTGGACCCCAATCTCAGAAAGCCAAATTCATGAATCATTTGCGACCTCCAGTCTGCTGAATTTGCCCTTTCATTATCATATCCATTGCCTGTCCAAAATTAATAGCGAGCTGCAATAATGTAAAGCTGCAAAAAAATGCAAGCTGCAAAATCACTTTGCATGAAAAGTACTGCTCAATGGATAGGAGACTCTCTAGCAAGGTAAACTCTACCCCAATCCACAAGAAAGGGGAGACTACCAAAATCCCCAGAAGTATTTGCAGTCAGCAATTTATTTCCAGACACGTTAAGAGCAGGGTCAGGCAGCCATTCAATAGAGTTTTGTTCACTGTCTAGTTGATGGTTCTACCTGGCTATGTCCAAGGGCCATCAGCAAGACTGTGGCCAACAGCAATCATCTAGGAAAAATGTTAAGAACCTACATTCTGATTAAATATCAAGATTATGAGTTATGGAAAGCCTCTGGAGATGTTTGAGTTCTGAATGGAAATCCTATGGAGACAGTGGGTCTGTGAGGCTACATCATCCCCCACAGACCAAGAATCTGCTCAGTGAAAGCAATACCCCAGTCAGTGGTCTCAACTAACCATCAGATCCCAACCAGGAGAGCTGTGAAAGCTTCCTGACAACTTTTCAGCAGG